GAGTCGGAGCGCTCCCCTTCACGGGGGTGTGCAAACGCTGTCCGCGGCCGTTCCGTGCGGAGGGGGGGTTCCTCCCGGGGGAATGAAAACACCGTGGGTGAGGGGTGTCTGCGGGAGGGTACTCGGGGAGGACCGGTGGCTTTGCGGCGGGGGGCGCTGGGGGGGGGGTGGCCGAGGCTGTCCCTTAATTCCAACAGCACTTGAAAATGGAGCTTAGGACAGAAGGGAGAGCGACTTTCTACGTGGGCAGATAGTGGTAGGACAAGGGGAAATGGTTTTAAACTGAGAGAGGGGAGATGTGGGTTAGGTGTTAGGAGGAAATTTTTCACCCAGAGGGTGGTGAGACACTGGCCCAGGTTGCCCAGAGAAGCTGTGGATGCCCCATCCCTGGAGGCATTCAAGGCCAGGTTGGATGGGGGCCTGGGCAGCCTGATCTAGTGCTTGGCAACCTTGTCCGCAGCAAGGGGGGTTGGAACAGGATGATCTTTAAGGTCCCTTCCGACCCAATCCATTCTATGTTTCTATGATTTTCTCATGGACAGTCTTCTTAACCCCCCTGCATCTTGTAAAATTTTCTCTGCTTCAGCAGTTCTTTCTTGAGCGGGGATGCTAAATCTTGCTGATTTTTAAATGTTTTATCTCTTTTTTGTTGTTGTTTTGTTTTTGTAAAGATGTCATTTTTCTTCAGGGGAGGGACAGGCCAGCTCTTGTTGCTTCAGCTGTAGTTGCTGGCAGAGATTGTTTCCTCTCGTGGTATCTGTGTGGGTCTTTACTCAGTCACCTGTAACTTGCACATTGGGACTTGCAAGCTTGAGAGGTCAAAATATGATACTAACTCAGCAAACCTGATACAGCGTCAGTAATGGCTGGGGGTGTCTGACTGTCAGGCTTTTCACCCAAACCCGGGTAAGCCGACAAGTATGCAAAGCTGGCAGATAGAGGCATCTTACCGTGGGGACTGTGCGTAAAGCCTGACAGAAGCAGGAGTGGATGTTCTCTGGCTCCTCATGGCACTAGAGCTTTCAGTGTTGAACTGATCCCGACCTCTCATGGAAGGAGCTGCTGGTACAGGGCCTGGATTGCTCTCCAGATTTTCTCTTTGAATTTTAGCAGACGTTCTCTGTGCTGGACAGTGAAATCTCTCTGCTACCCAACAAAAATCCATTCTGTGTAGGTGTGATTAGAATGAAACAGAAGAGCTGCGACTGGCTAATGTCCTCTCTTGCCACCTGGAGAACTCTCTTGGAGCTCTGTCAGCAGCTCTGGGGATCTGCTCATCTGCTCTCCTCAGCAGCTCTGCCAGCAGCAGCACAACAAAGACGTGCTGCATATTGATTGAATTTTATTAAGCACAGACGGAACCAAAGAGAGACAAAACAGTGTGTCAGAAGAGGGATAGGATTTTTTTTCCCCTCTCTCAATGAAATACTTATTTTCTCTATGGGTGTGGTTTAAAATACAGCTGAACTCCCAGGGACAGGCTTTAATCTCTGGGTAGTGTTTTAAAATGCTGTAGGAGCAGGTAGAGGCTCTGATGGAAGTGAAAGAGAGCAAAGCTGAGTCTGTGTTTCTGAAGGTCTCACTTTCTGTGACTACTCCCCCTGTTCTTGATTGCTTAATGCCATGTTAATCTTTGAGGAAAGATGTTGTGAGGATCCATCTCTAAATATTTTAGAAAGTGCATAGATGTTTTGGAAACAGAAGATTGTGTGTATACCTCCACAGAGTGAAACTGAAGTGTAGTTTTGTATCCTCAGGATGAGTTTAACCATTTTTCTGTTAGGGAGCCAGAGTTTCATGGAGGAGCCACTGAAATAAATTCTAGCTTTCTGGCTGTGGTTCCAAGGTAATTTAGATTTTTTTTTTTCTTTTTATTCCCCATTTTTGCCTTTAATGTAAACCTTTCTTGCTTCACAAATATGTAAAACTTCTGTGTGTGTGCATACATACGTGTATTTGTGACTTAAAGGATGTAATTTTTAACTAAAACAATATACTGCTCCTGTAAGCCTGTGCATCTTATTTTCATACCTTAAGGCACCAGAGGAATTTTTAAAGAGTTAGTACTATCTTAAAAGATAATTCTCACAACCATATGGACTAGCAAGCAATGTGTTCTGGATGCAGTTGTAAACTATGTGGTCTCTTTAACCTAGTCTGTAATAGAGACTGGGGAGAGATCTAATTTATGGGTAGATTCTTACTGCTACTTGCTACAAGGTGCTTATAGTTTTTCTCTGAATTGACAAATGTCCCCGTCGAAAGTGGATCTTTCACTGGCCTGTTTGGGAGTCCCTGAGCATCGCTGATCCTCCACAGTTTGGTGCACCCAGGAGACGGGAGCTCTGCCAGTCCTAGTGTGTTGAGTTTGCCTGTTTGCCAAAGTGCAGATTCTCTTTCACTGCTGCTGTTTGAGTTACTCCATTTATTAGATCTCATGATTATATCACTGATTTGATAGTGCTGAATGGCTGCACTGGGGTTTTTTGGTAGAAAATTCTATTTTCCTTTATTTGGAAGATATTTGGCTTATAAGTTCATGAAAGTGACCATTTTTTTCCTCACTTGTAATTGTATGCTAATTGTAATTTTTTTAACTTCTTTACTCTCTGGACTTGTGCTTGTTCTGCAGTTGGATGGAGAAGTAGCCTTGTTCATACGTTGTCATGGGTGGCTGCTGTGTACTTTCCTAGTTGCTAAAGCCACCAGGATTCGGTGATGGAGGCTTTACTGGAAGGAATGCAAAGAAATGGGCAGGGGAGGTATGTATGCAACAGTATACACCAGTCATTCCAAATTGTTTAAGTACTGACCTTCCCTCTTACTCAGAAGCAAATCCTCCAGTGTCAGACAAAGCTTCCGTTGCTTAAATAAGGGCTTTGGAGTTTGTCCACTAGTGCATGCTGGTGGACAGACAGAGTGTGCGGTGGCCTTCAGCTGGTGGGGAAGCAAAGTCACTGGGTGACCTGGCTTTGCAATAATCCCTTGTTAGGCATTATACTTTAATTGTTAGAAATTCAGTTTTATATCTTCATGAAAACCTTACCTCTTTTTTGTTGTTGTTTTCCCTTCTTGCTGTCTTAACATCAAGAGCAATAGTAATTAAAGGTGTGAATAAATATTTTTTTTTGTAACAGCCTTGCAAGGTTAATGAGACATGTCTTTGTTAGTCTGTTTTTATTGAAAACATCTGATTTTTCCCTGCTCATGTTGAAACTGCAGAGTCCTATTAATCTCTGAAGAATCCTTAATGCTCTGTCTTAGATGAAAGAATCTAGACTTTTGGATCCTTGAGAAAGACTGTAGTGCCAATAAAAGAAAAAAATGTTTTATGTGTTAAACAAGAGTGAAGCAAAAGTCACTGATGTTATTTTAATAATAATCTTTGAGAATGTGACTGAAATTTACTGATGCCATGTCTTCTAGGGATAACTAGTTGCTGAAATCAAGTTTAGACATAGCTTTATATTAGCAGATGCTGGGGAGGAAATGTTCTTGCTCTGCTAATTTTTGGTTTCTCACAGGACAAGGTGAACTTCAAATTTAACTGATATTGGCTCCTTTAAGAAATATTTATTTCCTTATAGAAAAACTGCCAAGTTGTGAAGTGTGCATATGCTGCTCTGGGGGAACAGAGAAATTTCAATCCCTTAACCTATTGATTTCTGTTTCTTTTCAGTGCTTCCTGTTTGACAGGCAAATTAAAGGGGTAAAGATCATCATGGGGTTCACTGCCCTCTAGGGCTGGATCTTGAAAGCCTTAATATTGTCCCTGGCTTAGCAGCTTGTGAAGTTTTAGAGGAGTTAGTTGAATTGTTTTCAATAATTACTGCACCAAATTAGTAATTGCAGCATCAATGGGGAGCATGCTTTCCCCAGTGGGTTGCGAATGTTTTATTCTTCATTATCATGTTGTCATCCAACCCCCTCTACTCAGGGGTTTGTCTGCATTTGTGATAAACTTCTGTTTTGAGGAGATGATAGCTTGGCTGTAAGATTTCTCTGGTGACTGAAACTTGATATAAAGTGCTTCTGCCTGGAGAGCAATTAAGGCAAATATAAAATACGGATAAAACATGCTCCAGTTTACTTAGATAATGCATAATACTTAGATAAAGGGATAAGTGTTTGTAGGTGCTTGTATTGGTTCTCTGGATAGAGGGCAACCCCCTATGTTTAAATTGCGTAGGTCATTCATTCTCATTGAGATTTCACAAGTGTTCTTTGCTGGTCATTGCCAAATTTAGCTCTCTGGCCAGTGATTTGAAGATAACACTTGTGAGATACTGCATTAGAGAATGGGATGGACGGTGAAGTATTAAGTATATTTCTCTGCAAGCTAATTTGCATAGAGTTCAAAGCACTGCACGGGCAGAGTTGGTCCCTTGGTGCAAGTCAGTTTGTTCTGCTGACTTTGTTGGTATGGTACACTGGAGCTGTGTTGGGCAGCGCCTTCTTTGTAACGTCAAGCTCTTTGCCTTCCAGCGGTGGGTTCTTGACTTCCTGTGAGGCTGAACTGCAGGAGCTGATGAAGCAGATCGACATTATGGTGGCTCACAAGAAATCTGAATGGGAAGGACAGACACAGGCTTTGGAAGCTTGCCTGAGTGCTCGAGAGCAAGAACTTTCCTCTGCCAAGGCTGCTCTGCAGGAAAAATACAAGGAGGTACTGCCTCAGGTTCATAGTTTCCTGATCAGAGGCGACGTGTGTTTTACATGTTACATAAAGATACATATATATATATATATATGTTTACATGTATATATAAAGATACAAAGACTGAACTTGAATTTCAGAGTTTGACTTTTCATGGATGTGTTTTGGGTGTTGTTTCATCAGTTTTTATTTTTAAATTTTTTTAATGTTTAAATGCTAAGCCAACACAAGGGGTTAACTTTAGCAAATAGCTGTGCTAAGTGGAACAGGAGCCTGTCTCATAATTGGAAATCAGGAGTAGAATTTACAAAGGAGCTTGTGGGAATAAGGTGTCTGATTCATAATTCAATCGTAGTCAAGTGATCAGCTCTCTGAGGGTTGGTGGAATTCCACAGACTGAACTGTCAGAGTTTCTAGAGAGAACCAAAAGATGCTGAATCTGGTTACAACAGTAATTGACAGTCCGGCAGCCTGCAGTCATTGGAGAAAGAACATTTAGCGGTATAAACTACACCGAGATGTTGCTGGGAGATTATCCAAGGGCTATTTTATGCACCTCAGGTTTTGCAGCCTTTAATTAAAGGCCAAATTTCTGTATTAGTGTAAAAGTATCAGTAAGTGAAGTTTTTGCATAGGATGTGGACCATAAACTTTCTCTTGTGCAAATGTATTGATGTATCCTTTCTTGGATCAAAGGAAACCAACAGGAATCTGAATGGCTATATCTTAAGATCTAGACACATAGACTTTTTCTGAGAGTGTTTATAATTTGTCCTCCTATTTGTAGCTAGTGTCCTATCTTTTGACAGACTGTTAGCTACAAATTGTGTTTCAGCAGCTCTCTGAGGAAGTTGCTTTGACTTCTTGGGTCAGAAGCCAGCTGATAACTGCAGTTGGATTTTTGGGCTGCATGTACAACTATACTACAGCTATTCTTACATCCTCAAAATTACCCAAGTACTGCTGTAGCTTTTAGTATTCTGGTGTGGAATCTAGTCAAATAAAGAGAAATGTGACAGGCAGTAGCAAGAGTGGGTTAAGAACTCTGTAGTTTCTTGTTAACATGGTCAGGTGCTTCTACTGGTCTGCATGGCAAGTTTTGGAATTAATGTCTTTGTTACAGAGTTATTAAATCTGGAGTCATACCACAGGATTTTCATTTGCAAGAACAGTGATTTTTATCATATAGGTTATCATTGTTGTTATCAATTGTGTTTTCTCAAGACACTTGTGAAATATTTCTTATCACCAAAAGCGAATATTGATTTCAAAACTGAACTGTAAACTGTGGTTAGGTGACTGCTGGAGTATATTGATGCTTTTGGTTTACTCATATGAATTTTCTGTGGTGATTTCTTTTAATTTGTTGGCTTGCTGTCCTTTTGGTGGCCATTTTGGGTTGTGGATGGGAAAAAGATGGGGGTGGAGGGGAAAGGCAAAAATGAGTCACAGGAGTCTGTGAATCAATGTAAGAGAAGTCTTCCCCATGAGTTTCAAAGCCCCATTTCTTTATCTTCCTTATCTCCATGTATTATTTGGAATATCTGCTTCACCTGAGTGTAGTAAGATATCGACATGGCTGTCTTTTCTCTTGGTAGATAGCTTGAAATCCTAATGCACGGTTATAAAGAATTTTATGAAAATGCCATATATAAATAGCATTTTGACACAAGCCAAAACTGTCAGTTTCATCCCAAAAAAATGAAAGTCAGAAATTGGCTCAAAACAAGAGGTCAGAACAGAAGCAGTTCTAGCCTCAGCCTACCAAAGATTTAGGCATAATCTTAATCTGATTCCTAGTCAGTGACCTCATTGCAACACACAGTTGTTAACAGAATTAGGATCCTTTAATAGTCATTTACCACTCCAATTATAATGTATATTTGTGAAATGAAAACTAATCCCAGTACCTACTGACAATAAAGTCCACTTGTTTATTGTTATTTATTTGCCTTTTAACTCTTCATTCAGGTTGGCATGTTGCGTCACCAGGTAGAAGACCTGGAGAAAGCCAAACAGGACATGGTTAGAGAATATGAACAACAGCTGAAGAAATTTCAAGAGGAGGTGAGCTGCAAAAAGAGAGGATTGGTTTTTACTTCCCAGTTGATAAATGATCTGATAGGTGAAATACTTTGTATCATTGCTTTTGTTTAAATGCGATGGTTTTACAACTCCCCATTCTTTTAATGTTTGTGTTCTTACAAAAAAGAGCATTGAGCATAGACAAAGTAATATTTTTATGCTTCATTAGGCCTGGTTTTTTGCACTTCAGAGGAACTTGATGACAAACAGAAAACTCTGGGAGTAGAGGTGTGTAGTAAATGTATTGTTGCAGTTTTCATGTTATACATCTGCAGAAGTTTACTGCAAAAATTTCCCGTGTTTGCCCATTCTAGTCACCATAGTGCTTGTTCTGAAGTTGCCGTGGGTACAGGCAGCAGCAGTTTGCTCCTTCAGCATTTCATGAAATTAAAAAAGGCTGGTGGTGTAACTGGCCTTGATCGTGTGAGGTCACGAGATGAGAATGGTATGTAGTCTCATCTTCTTTTTGCCTCCATTGACTCTAATTGTGTTTTCTGAAGACATGTTAGTCTTAATAAAAACTAAATATACTTAGAAAATATTTTTTGAAAGTAATTTCAGAGCTTTCATCTCAAAAAGCTTCTTATTCACTGCAAGGTGGTGCATGTGGAACGTCCTGCAGGTGCTATAAGAGCATTCCACGTTTATGCCTTAACTCTTTGCCTGTCTCCACTTGCTTGTCAGCGGCAGTGAGTTAAACGGCATGAGCAGCTAGTAGAGCATTGACCTGTTTTCTCTGGAGGGTTGGGCTTAGTTCATCCTCTGTAAGCCATAAGTTAAATTAATTTGGTAGTCTCTGCTTTGACAACAGAAGGCATCTGTCCTCATCTAAAACAACTTACTATTCGGTATGACTAACAGTCTTCATTCACGAGATGCTCCCACTGGAATTGTGGATAAACTGCAAAGCAAAGCAGAGGTGCGTTGGCAGATCTGCCTAAATTGCTAAGACTGAAATACAGTGTGTGTGTTGTGGCCAAAATTGCAATGTGTTGGTATTTTACCCACACAGTACTAATGCAGATGACATTAGGCTCTAATATTCCTCAGTCTTCTGTTCTTAGTACTGTTTGGGGAAATTCTTTCTGTCTCGGTTTACCAGCGTTACCAGTAAAATTACAGGTGCGGTGTCTAACTGACAGAGGTTGTTGAAAGAATAAACCTGTAGTCTCCTGATGTGTTTGGCAAAAGTTGTTCGTATATTAACTCTAAGCCTGTACGTCTGTCCGTTCCCATTGAACATGCCCAAGTACTTTGCTGGAGAACCTTTTGTGACCAGAGCACGAGGTATTGATTCAGATGTTTTTTCTTCTCATGGTCCTTCTCTTCATCTATGGGCTTAGCTTTGTCTGTCAGTAAAATGGGAATGATGGCTTCTCAAATTTATGTGACTATTTGGAAACTTTCTATTTAATAGTTGAATTGGGAGGAGCTCATAGGATGGAAAATTCCATGCAAGTTGCAAGTGATTATTTGCACAGAGGGTCATTTAAATGTCAAGAGTTTTTTCCTCATTTCTGCTTCTGATATGACTTTAGCATTCTAGCAGTAGGAGTAGGAGTGATATTTTCTGTTGGCATTCTCCGCTTATTGTGAAATACATGGTGTATCTGAGCAGAAAATGACAGATGAAGTAGTGTTGATATTATGTATAATGGCAATTCTCAAATCTTCCTTCTCCCACTAAGCAGAAGAGTTCCAGTTCCCACCTGAGCTTCACAAGTCTATTTTAATCACGTAAGAAACTCTACCTCTGTGTGGAACTGCCCCCCACCCCGTGTGTGGTGTGATGTGCCCCTCTGTATGAGGAGATCAACCACAGGTACTGCCTGCTGGGAGCCACCTGTAGAGAGAGCGTTACCATGCTCTTGCTGCATTAACAGCTGCATCTAAACTTCCATCTTATCAATATTTCAGTCATGTTTTGATAGTAGTAAGACAGAGGTCTAATTGGAGCTGCTGATGTCGTGACTTCAGTGGCATTTTGCTACTCTTAGACAACTCGGCATATTTTGCAATCCTGTTGCTATAATAGGCTCATTATACAAATAAAGGTCTTCACTTGCAAGCTCTGTGGCTTTGATTAGCGGAATTGTTTGTGTGAAGCCATTTTGTGTGCCTTCTTTCAAAGTGCTGGTTAATTCTTGCCTTGGGACCTTGAACAAAGTTGTCTCATTCACTGAATGGCTTGCAGTTGTCCAGGCTGAGGAGGAGCTATGAGAAACTGCAGAGGAAACAACTAAGAGAAATTAGAGAAGAAGCTAATAAGAGACAAGGGGAGGACCATTTTGAAATGAGCCGATTGACCAGGAAGCTGGAGGTATGTAGTGAAAAAGCAAGTGCTAACCCAAGTTTGTGTGTATCAGCTGACTTTCTGGGCTTCACTGGTGACTGAATAGTCAACTAGGAAGTGGACTATGAATCCTGCCTAAAAAGTACTCTCCAGGTGTAGCTCTTCTCAGCTCCTTGTATAATAAAAGCAGTTTCCTATACTGGGGCCTCTGAGTATACACGATAATCTATGCTACTGTTCTTATTCTTAGACTAAATGAAAGGAATAAGGTGCTGGAAGGGTAATTAGTTATGTGAATGGAATTAATTCCTGTGTGGTGAGGTTGTCATCTGACTTCTTTTAGGAGGTAGGAGCTACGTGTTAAACTTCCTCTAAACCCTATCTCATGTTTTAATCTTTCCGCTATGCTGAGCTCAACCACACTCAATTTTCTTCTACTGTACCCTGAAGATGTGGCTAACAAACACATCTGGCTGATGTAATGTCCAATTTCTGGAGCAGAGATTAGCATTAAAATTCTGTAGTTCATACTTGCCGTCTTAGCGATTTCAATAGCAGCATGTTTTGGAAGCTAAAGACAGTCTGAATTGTTAAACCTCTGACAGCAAATCTATGAAACTAACCATGAATCTGTTAGCACTTAACATTTGTAAACAGCAATAATTGACACTGACGTTTTAACTCAGGAGGGAAAGAAATACAGCAAGCACAGTATGTGAGGGGTTTTATACTGCTGAGTCGGTGCATCAAATGACTGGCTAATGGTGTCCCTGCTGTGGGGAAAGGTTCATGAGGATATAGCAGAGAGAGAAAGCAAACATGGATATGAACTAGAAGAGGGCCTTCTTGTCAACTGTGCTGTACTGCTGTACTGCTCCAAGCCACTCCTGCTGTCCTTGCAGGAGTTTCGTCAAAAATCACTTGACTGGGAGAAGCAGCGCTTGCTTTACCAGCAGCAGGTGGCATCGCTGGAAGCCCAGAGGAAGGCTTTGGCTGAGCAGTCTGAGCTCATTCAGGTACGATTAATAATGTGCTGAAAGTTTTTGTTTTGTTTGTGGCAGCAGGTGGGAGGGGAGGGAGAGGGGTAGAGGGAAAGACTAATGAAATCTCTCAGGCTTGAATTCAGTTTAGGTTGCCATTGAAATGACTTTTAATGTCCCGGAGGAATAAGGATTACTTGTGTAAGTGCTGTATGGAAAAAAGATCTGGAGTCTGTCAGCAGAGGTTAGATAAACCTCATGCAGCTCTCCCTGCCACCCCTCCAATTAGTAGAGAAGATAGTAGGTTGAAGCTTTCTTGCCCTAGGAGACAGAGACCACAGCATATGACACTTTAAAATAGCTGTTACATCATGTTGTCTAGTTCAAAGCTGTGTACCTGCCAGTAGCTAAATATGCACTTTGTAGGTCCAGCTCAGAGGATGATGTTGGAAAATAGTCTTCCCCTACTACACATACTTCTGCAGAGTACTGAAGTACCAGTAGTTTTCAGCCCTCCTTTTTTTTTTTTTTTTAAAGTCTCTTAAAGGCAACAAGTAGTGGGGCTGCTGTTCCTGAAAGCTGATCATTCAGTGAGTTAGTGGTGCTGCAGCAGAGCAAGATGAATGACCTCGAGCACAGCTGTGAAGTCACACTGACACAATCACAGCAGACACTGATAAGAAGCTCTTGCTGGGGGCTTTACACTTAATGGGCTCCTGAGTTGCTCTTGAGTGGAAGCTCCTGCAAGGAGGAAGCTTGTGATGACAGGATTGAAGCTGGCTCTGACAGGGCCTTTGTGAGAGGCTGACACTAGTAGATCTACAAATGCAGAGGGAGTCGTGGAGCAGAAGGTCTTGCTGCTCTGCTGTCTTTGCATCATTGATGGCTCAATTGTCTGAGAACAGATGTGTCCTTGGAGTGCAGGCTGGTATACTGGAGCAAAGAGGAACTCTTCTTACAATACAGCAGAACAACAGGAATTTGGGGAGATTTTTCCTAAGTGGTGTAGAAGACTTAGGTGCACAGATGAACAAACTGCCTGAATCCTCAATTTTTTTGAAAAGCCTGGCATGAAAGTGCTAAGTTTTTGCCTTGGATGTTTCTATGCATTTTGTATGCTGGGTGGTTTTTCTGGCAGAAGGTCAAGCTGAGATCTGTGGCCATGGTGTACTTCCCCATTCTCTTCTTTCAGCTGGCTTCCCCTCATATCTTTCAGTGCAGCTCAGGGAAGCCTGGTATTCTTACCCAGTGATGGGCACCTTCCTGTAACACCTGCAGCTTTTAAAGTCTGGAACAGGTGAAACTTGGAATTCTGTGCTGTCCTGAATGTTCAGGGGCTGGAAATAAGAGAAAGCTTAAATGTTTTCTTATTGCAGAAATAAAGATTCAGGTAGTCTGGTACTCTGGTTTCTTGGGTGGAAAAAGGCTGTACTTTAAACTCGTTACCCCTCCTGATTATCTTTTCTGTCATGACTATTCAAATAATGAAAAGACTGTAATCAAAATTGTACCATAGTCTTCCAAATGCAGACTTCCTATAGTTTTCTCAGTTATGAGGCATTGTATGTCAGACAATAAATCAAGGCATGTGGTGATTCTGAAGCTGGCAGGAATTGCTAGTCTTAGAAATTGGGACTAAAGGACTACTCAAATATTTTGTTTCAGCTTTTAAAAATTACAAGGTACTATACAAAAAGGGAATACATGAATATTCTTAGAAGCTTGTATGAAAGCTGTTAAATTTCACCAGCTAGCTATGTGGAAAGCAGTGCTATGAAATAAAGTATTGTGCCTATAAATAACAGCGTGTATTGTTTGCTAGTCATATGTTCCTTATAACTTTTTTTGTCTGCCATTAAAACAATGAAACATTCAAAGTGAGCATTCTTGCATGCTGTTAGAACCAGATATTCACTGCATAAAGCAAAACATAATTGACTGTTACACCCAGTTCGGTTTTTGATCTATTTGGTGTTTGTGTTTTTTTTCATTGTGCACCAAGAGCTGCTTTCTATCCTGGTGTGGAATTAATGATTGAGTAATCTCTAGCTTTTGTAGGGTATTTACAAACCTTCTTACATGCTGCTGTTTCTCCTCATCTAGCCTTAGGTTAATGAGCAAAAAATAGCAGGCAGCTTTGTTCTTAGACAGTTCATGCTCAGACAACTTGAGTGATTTGAGATCCTCTTTTCCCAGATTCTCTTTGACTCTCTTTTGGAATCAGAGAGCCTTTTCATTTTTTTTTTTTTTTTTTTAATTCTATTTGTCTTCAGAAGTTTTACACATCCTGTAACCCTGGAACAATACTTTCCCTAATTCCCTGAAAGGCAGTGTGGCTTACTTTGATAATGTGACTTGTTACACAAAGAAGTCAGTAGTTGGTTTGAATGTAATTTTGATACACTGTGTTTTTTGATAATTTAGCCTTAATACAAACCAGTTGCTCTTAGCAGACTCAGCTTGCCAATCGGAAGCAGATTCTGGAGTCAGTGGAGCTGGCTAGCCGATCAGAAATCCAGCACTTAACCAGCAAGCTGGAGAGGGCCAATGATGCTATCTGTGCCAACGAGTTGGAGGTGGAGAGGCTTAACATGAGAGTGGACGATCTGACCGAAAACAATCGGATGATTCTGGAAGATCAGCAAAGAGTTCAAGAAGAATTAAGGCAATCCAAGAAAATGTTAGAGGTCAGTGGAGGAACTGTTAGGAAACTGAATATAAAGCAGCACTTGTGAGAATTATTAGGAAGGCTGTTAATTGCAGAGCTCCCATCTCTTTCTAGAGCCTTTGTAAGGTTCCTGATTGGCCTCAAAGCTGGCTTTGTACTCATCTGGTGCTCTGCTGTATTTCCAAGGGTTTCTTAAAAATCTGATCAACCTCTCATTGCCTTACAACAGACTGATTTGGTCCATCTTGCAACAGTCATTCCTTCTCCCTTGCATGTAGGTGCTACAGGATGAGAAGATGGAACTTAGAGCCACCTTGCAGTCTCAGGAGGATTTCATTGACAGCTCCAAGCTGCACCAGGAACAGTTACAGAAGGAGCTGGCCAGGCTGACAGAAACTCTCCACACAAAAGAACTCCTCATCAGGTAGCATCTGTGCCTCATTGGTACTTATACTCTTGAATCTAGATCTATATTCCAGGTTCTCCTACTGAGGATGGTAGAAGCATTTTCATGCAGCTGGATCTGTATTGGTTGATACATAGAATGGTACACTGTGGTTTCTCACAACTGCTGTGCTTCCTTGCAGCATTTGCCAGACTGCTTTGCTTTTGAAGTCAATCACAGTGAAGAGTGTGGAAGGAATCAGCTTTCTACTCAGCTAGGTTTCTGGAGGCAGCACAGGGCTTTTGAGCTTTTCAGCTTTTTTTTCCTCAGGCATTTTTAGTCAAGTGCTGGAGGCCTTTCAGGATTTGATACTGTGCTTTTTAATGGTGGTGAAAGTTCTCACTGATTTAATGATGTCAGATTAGGGTCTTGGTAAAGTAACTACGGATGTGACAAAATAATCTTGGCTTTCCCTTTCTGCAGTGGCAATGTGCAAAAGCTATAGGATTCTGATGGCCATGTCAAAAGATTTTGGCCTGTGTTACTGAACAGCCACACTACTTCTTGCAAGCTGGATGTCTACTAATGGCAGGGAAACTGTCTGGATCAACATCAAAATAGGATGCAGTCCTTTTTAATCAGCCTGAACTCAAAAAGGGGGCTGTCATCCAGCTAGTGTGTTTGCTTATTCACGATACACACAGGTGTCACCTAGTGTTGGGTTTTGTGTATTTTTCAGAGAATTCCAAGAAAATGGTGGTTATATTCCCCGTATTAGTGAACTCACAGAATCACAGAATGTTGGGGATTGGAAGGGACCTCGAAAGATCATCTAGTCCGATCCCCCTGCCGGAGCAGGAACCTAAATGAGATCACACAGGAAGGCGTCCAGGCGGGTCTTGAATGTCTCCAGAGAAGGAGACTCCACAACCTCCCTGGGCAGCCTGTTCCAGGGCTCTGTCACCCTCACTGTAAAGAAGTTTCTTCTCAAGTTTAAGCAGAACCTCCTGTGTTCCAGCTCACACCCATTGCCCCTTGTCCTACCATTGGGCATCACTGAGAAGAGCCTGGCTCCATCCTCGTGACATTCGCCCTTAACATATTTATAAATATTAATGAGGTCACCCCTCAGTCTCCTCTTCTCCAAGCTAAAGAGACCCAGCTCCCTCAGCCTTTCCTCGTAAGGGAGTTGCTCCATTCCTTTAATCATCTTGGTGGCTCTGTGCTGGACTCTCTCAAGCAGTTCCCTGTCCTACTCAGACATGATGTTTCTGTGCTGAGATTAAAGTTCATGTTTCTACTTAGGTCCTTGGAGGAACGTTTGGAAGAGAATCGATTGTCTTCCTCAGGGCTGGAGTTGGAGCATATACTACTGCAGCTGGATGTTGCCCAGAAGAAAGAACAGCACTTACAGTCAGAAGTGACTCAGCTTGAGAACAGGTAGCTGACTGCTTGCTTCCCCTGGCTGTGCAATGAAACTTGGATAATAATTTAATGCCTAATATATTGTATTCATGAAGTTAACCAGTCCCACTGATTTTTGTAGGCTTATTTTAAATATCAAAGGGATGAAGAAATCAAGTGCTATTCATTTTGCAGTTTAATAGTGAGACTGTTTTGCTAATTGGTTGGCTGCTTTTCACCGCACACTGTGGGTGTTTTAGCTTGCTTCGGCTTAGCACCTTCATTAGCAATAGGTTAAGGAGTCGTTGTTAGTCAGCTGGTAAGAACCAGATCTAGACCTTACTGTGAAATAAGAATTATAAACAAGTCTTCCTCTCAGAATTTGTGGTTTTCAGACTAATATTCACACGGGAAGTTTGTAATCTTAGTACAGTAAAGAAACAAAGAAGAAACAGCTATTATCTGTTAGATCAGCTTCCTGATCTCTTTTGAAATGATTTTGGTAAACAAAACCAACGGATTGGTAAGGAACTTCTAAGGTAAGAGTCTGGTTTCTGTTATGACGGACATAGGAGACTGCTTAGAAGATCAAAGTTTCTCTGACCATGTCCTCCTTCTTGGGGTATTCTAATCTATAGTTTTACATTTGGCACCCAGCCTGGTGTCTTCAAATGCAAGGTGTGTACAGCTGAGTGAAGAGCTGGATGAGAATATCAAAGAGCTGCAGTCGATGGAAGAACACCATACTGAGTCAAAGGCAGAGATTAAAAAGGTAATGTCGCTTTGTTCCTGGAGAGTGGGAGAGGCACTTGTGGAGTCAGCCCTTCCCGTGTGTGTCATGCCTCAGCAGTGCACAGTCAGCAACGCTCCAACTGGGACCAGAGGCCAGCAGTGTTGGGGAGGCAGCGACACGCTGAAGGGTGGGGAGCAGATATGACAAGGAGGAGTGGAGAGGATGGGTTTGCAGGTTTCTGTATGTGGCTGTGCTGCTTACTTTGTGAGTATCTCTTAAGCCTACCCCTGCATCATGCAGCACTCCTCTATGGTGTGGAGATACTTGAATTAGCGCTGGAGGGGCAAATAAGCAGAGAAAGTAAGGCCTGGAATCCTGCGTTTAAGCCTAATACAGGCTCCTGACAGGGTGAAGAACAAGGAGGAAATGGATTTTGCTGTAATATATGCTGTCACACTTGAGACATGGCTTCAAATGTATTCTAGCTGGAAGAAATGGAGCAGCTCATCTGCCATGAGGACCACAGCCTAGGGCTCTGTGCACCCAAGGGAGGCACGCCCTCCAAAAAGCTTGACTTCTAGTAATGGTCTAGATCAGTCAGTGTGAGAGCTTTCACTGGAGCCTGGTTAGAGTAGAAACCTTATTGGACTTGAGTGAAAAACCTCACTTCTGTGAAAATCTTTCATCTTTTATTCTGAATGTACAGAGGTGCAGATCTTGCCAGAGATGCGTGCTTGGTTACACGTTTAAACAGCCACACAATAAATGAGTCTCCTACAGGCTGCTGGTGAGGAAAGAGAGATTTATTACAGCTGTTTCTATTTTATATACTTGGGAGTCATTGAGGTGACACGGAGATAAATCACCATATGTGTAGTATTTACATGGCTAGGCAGAGATCATCTGGTTCAATTTTCTAAAATGCTTATAATTCTTAGAAAAATCCTGGAGGTTTGAGTGGTTAATATTTGTGGCTAGTGGAATGGAATACTAGGGAAGAAATTATGCTATGTTGTTCTTCTATTATGCCACTATATAGATATATGGTGTACCTACTAGAATGTTATATGCAGTTCAGGTCTGCCATCTCAAAAAGGATTGAATAAAACAAGATAAGGTATGGAAAAAGATGACCAAAAGGATGGAGTGTTTTTTATATGAGGAACAGCTGAATGGAGTAGGACTTGCCAAACTGGAAAAAGAGATAAATGAGATTGAATGTACTAAAAATAAAATCATGCTTGTCATGTGGAAAGTAAATAGGGAATGATTATTCTCTCATAATGCAGGGACTAGTGGTCATCAAATGGAGTTAGGAAAACAAAGAGGTATATTTTTACCCTGTGCATAGCTAGCTTGTGGAAGTTTGCCATGGGTAGCTTTAGTTGTTACAAGCTAATATTGATTCAAAAGACTTAGGACAAATTAGTGTCAGAAAAGTCTGGCTAGAGCTATTTAAAGACACCATCTCTGCCTCAGAAAGGCAGAGTGGCAAATTTCAAGGTTATATTATGAAAGTGTTACTGTGCTTGCCCAGTGGTGGTGAACCTTTGGGTATCTGTTTTTGGCCACAGAGGTAGAATGGTGAGCTAAAGAGACTGTGATTTGATCAATTATGGGTCTTCTTGAGTACTCCACAGCATGTAACTTAAGTCTTGTCCCAGTTGGAAATTTATGGTGTGGAAAAGGATTGGAATGAGGTGGTTTTCAATCAAGAAGGACAAGCATGCACAGAGGGCTTGTTACGTGGAGCTTTTAGTTTTCCAGTACTTAGATTTCACATTACCATGTGCAATACTTTTGCTTTTTTGCTGAAACATCTTGTAAAAGCTTGTGAGTGGTGTGTGCATATCTTTCTCCAGCTGAAAGAGCAGCTCTCTCAAGCTGAACAAACTCACAGCAGTGAGCTAGAAGGGATGAAAAGGGAAATCTCCAGGTTGACACAAGAGTTACACCAGCGGGACATCACAATTGCGTCTGCAAGTGGCTCCACATCAGACCTAGAACAACGTCTGAGAACAGAGATTGAAAGAGCAGAGAGGAAAGCGGTGGAGCACAGGGTAAAAAAAGGCAGAAAACTCTTATGCTCTCTCTTTAAGGGATCTGAAGGCTTGAAATACCACCCTAGTTTTAGCAGTGTTAAATTTCCTTCTCTCTTCAGCCTTTGAACAAAAACTTTGAGACCCTTCTAGTGAAATTTTCTAATTTATGGTGTTCACTGAATCTGTCCTCTTTTTCAAACCAGTAACTGACAGTCAGAGAATTCTTTTGAGATCACTCATGCTAACTAGGCCTGGCTGATGACATCTTTGAAAACTAAAGTGAATGACTGTGCATAGTGATTTGCATGGTCTTCTCTAGAGGGTCCCTGCAGAGCTTATGGCCCAAAACTTGCTTTGTACTTCTGCTTGAATTGGGGGTGAAAAATGCCTGTAGGGTGTTGTGGGCATGTGTTATGTTCTTTTTTCTGAGCTGCTTGTTTGCCTTTCTCTCTCCTCAGGTAATTCTGGTCCAGCTGGAAACCTTGAGGCTGGAAAACCGTCATCTCTCAGAGATGCTGGAAAAAGCAGAGTGTGGTATGCTAGAGGTATGCATTAGGGAACGGAGGTGGGAAGGGGCAAGAATTGTGTGTCCCCTGCCTGGGAACAGTACTAGTCTTTGCCCAGGCCTCTCACAGTGCTTGGTAGAGTTCAGTGAACTTAAAACCCAGGCAAAAAGGGGCAATTTGTGAGGAAACAAGATGTGTAAATACTGAGCATCTTGTTTGGTCAGAGAGTAGTGAGGAGATCTGCAGAAACAGAGCTGTCATCTCAGTTTCTTCTCCATGAGATCTGGCTTGTGTTTTTTAGTATGTTTTGTTAATTTTCCATTTTAAGCTGGTTTACCTCAAACCTCTGATTCTAAATGTGTGATGCCCTTTTGACCTGTTTCAGAGCTGTAACTGCCACAGCCCTGCAATTTCTAGAGTGAGAGCATGGTCCCCTCCCAGTCAGGAGCCATTCAGCAGGGCTTGCCCTTGCACTTCACAGGCAGGTTGCAGCCTGGGAGTGTGAGCTGGATGCCCTGGGGCAATGTGCCAGGAAGGGGCACTGTGATGGGCTCCTGCTGATGTGCCACTCTTGGGGCACTCAACCTCATCTGGAGGGGAGAAGGGGAGCCTGCGTAAAAGAGGTGCAGTCTTGGCAGGAGTAATACCTTGAAAGTGGTTCATTTCAGTGCCTGTGTGAAGGAAGAAATAGCTGTTTTGCAAGTTGTGTCTCACATAAACTAGAATGGATGCCTCACAGGGGGCAAGGACTGGATTCAGACAGCTGAAAACCTGATGGGAATGTATCATCAGAGCTTTTATCCTGTCAGATCTGTGGGAAGGAAATACTCAGCTCTTAATACTAGTTTGGGGTGATTGTCAAATGTGCCAAGTTCTTGGGAAAGTGTTGAACAGAAGTTTGCAGCTGGTGAGATGGAGAAAAAACAAAACTGATTTGGGACCAAAATGACCTAGGCCCATTATTTTCTACTTGAAGTGCCTGGAAGGCTTTTGCCTGCCTGACTTACCAAAAAACTTGATAGCAAAGTGCAGAGCAAGTGTTCTTGTTTGTTTTTTTTTTTTTTTTTTAAATGCCCCATGGCACAGGAACTACTGATCTTGGTCAGCATCTTCTAATGCACATTGGAAAGTCCTTAGATACAGCAGTGATGAGAATGAATTAAGCATCTAAATTTAATAAAATTGTCAAAAAGAAAGTGGGCGTGTCGCAGGAGTATAAACAATGGAAATTACATCCATCTGGCCTAGTAAGGAGAAGATGGGAAGCAAGTTGTTCGGTTTTAAAAAAAAAAAAAAAAAAAGCCTCTACCAGTGGAAGTTTCTCAAGGGCTGTGGGTCATCCCAGGTGGGGAGGCATATGCACAGCCTTCCATAATTATTACCATAGGCAATTGCTAATTTGAGTGAGGGGATCTAGAAGTGATCTTTGCAAAGTGATCTAGAAGTGATCTTTGCTGGTAGAGCACATGGAAAGTAGTTTCTCACTGAGAGTGGTTACTTCTCATCAACAGCTAAGCCACTGGGATATGTGTTTCTTCATACCTGTAGGAAGTATCTGGCAGAGCCTGCTCCTCTGATACCTGTAGAGTTGCTTGGACTGAGACAGTTCATGGGGGTACCACCTCAGGGTTCCCAGCTTTGGCTGAGCAGCTTGTATCTTGGCTGACATAAGTGAGGGAATCCTAGAATTATACAGCTGGAGGAGAACTCGAGGTCATGTAGTCTTTCTCACTATCACAAGACGAGAGACAGATCCATCTGAACTATTCTTGGTCTCTATTTTCCTGTTTTCAAAAGCATGCAGTGGTGAGAGAGACTTCCTTTCCCAGGCAGATCAGCACAGCTTGTTTGGATGCAGACACGATAAGGCATATGTAATTGATTAGCTCTTACGAAAGCCTTGAAAATTTTGCCAGTGAAAACTGGGATTAGAGGATACGCCTTAAGGAATTGCTGTGGTGGCCTTTGCTCTGGATTTGACTATGGTGTCTAGGAAATCAGAAGTTTTGACTTCAGCCCTTCTCTGTCCATTAGGGAAAAGATGTCACCCTAAGAGCACTCAGTGAAGACTATGCTGTTGAACTAAATAAATTAAAATCTGAGAACCAGCAATTGCGGAAGGATCTAGCAGAAGCCAGAGCAAAACTGGAGCTCACTCGGCAGGTCTGCCAGGATGAACCCGAGGGCACTGCTCAGCAGATGCAGAAGGAAGAGCCTGAGGCCAAGGATGTGCAACACAGGTGAGTGTTGCATGACCCCAAGGATGCTACTTCCTTATTACGAAGGAGAACAGAAGTGTGGGGTGTGTTTTTAATGACATACTTTATATATAGTATCTATTTCCAGCACATAGAACACAAAGGACTGTTTTGGAATCTGCCTCTGTGCTTTAAGTAGTGCTATAGCTTTTAGTCCCAGCTGATCTGTGTTCTGCAAAGCAGAAAAAACTATATCGCTGTCTTTTTACTGCCTTAACCTTTTTCTTTGATTGAGAAGCAGTAGGTGCTCTTGACAGTGAAGGGATTGGCTTTGGCCCAGGTGGCTGCGCTCCTTTCTTTTGCAGTACTAGAATGTGCAGACTGTAGTTTTTGGTATCTACAATAGCAGAATGAAGGAGAATTCCCTGGAGACTGGATGTGCGTCTGGAAGCCCTATGGAAACAAGAGCGAGTTGGGATTGCCAGGGCTGTTAGTAACTTGTATGTTAATTTTTATCTGTATTTTAATTTTTATGAAGTTCAGCAAACTGTCAAACCTGCCTTCCAGGACAACTCAGGAAGCACAGGACGAGTGTGATGGACAAGCAGAGAGAAAACATCAAAAGCCTGATGGGACTCTTCAGCATCATCAGGGGGAGTCCCAGAGATGGGAAACTGCTGAAAGAGGAACTTTAACTCCTGAGGTGGGTGAGCTACCCACCCAGACCAGCAGGAAGAACTGTGTGGAGTCATTTGCTTTGGGCACCTTGTTGGGAACAGATTCTTTGCTCCATGTGCTGGATGGAAACAAAGATTTTGAAAATGAAACATCTAAGCAGTCCCTCTCAAATGATCAGAGAGAATCTGTGCCTTTGGTAAGCAGCTGTATAGAAACTGGTTGCTATTCAACAGCTGAGGATATAGCTGGGTTCTCATCTGGCAAAAGGACCCACTTTTTTGAATGTATGATCTGTCTACATCGTGCATGTGGTTCTTTAGACATACATCAAATGTTAAACAGGGAGTTACAACCACTGCTGGATGGTTAGTACTTGGACAATGGGAGCCATGTGGTTATCATTCAGAACTCTGGGGCAGGACTTCCTGTTTGGTTTCACTGATAAGCTAATTCCAGAAGCTGATGGTTCTCTCTGTACTGGTACATCAGTGTGTACTGCAAACTGCTCCTGTCACCTCAGAATTCTGCTTCAGTGTTTGGCTTGGGTCTGTAGTTGAGGCTCAGAGTGGGTGTAGAGTACTGAATATTCAACATACAGTTTCTGGGTGAATCTGACAGCTGGTGCTGCACATCTGCATCCACTGTAATGCACAGAGTGAGTGTGACCCCTCCGAATGGGACTGTGGTAGTCATCACACTGAACTGAAAGCCAGTTATGGCAGCTGGTAGGAAAGCCTGAAATCGGTGCTTCACAGCACAAGGGGAGGCTATTATTTTTCCCAGTCGCTGGTCATACTTTTTTAGTAGGGAGTACCTTCTCTGTTCTTTTACCTTAGCTCAGTTGCTGGAGCACTTGCTTAAGGTACAGGAAATTTGGACTCGATCTCTTATTGCCTGTGGTGTTTAAGACCATATATCCCAGTACCCCCTGTAATAACAAGGCTATAGACCAACTTGAGCAGGGTGGAGAATGGAAGAGGGACACAGAGAGCAGCTGTCATACCCTGGACCAGACAGGGCTGTAGTAGTTCAGGGAGGGGAGAATCCTGGCTGCTGATCCTTGTTGCAAGCGTGTTGCCCCTAGCAGTATTGGGAGTATTTTCTCCCGAGTGTGTGTTGTTAGCAGTGACAACAGATACTTTTATTTTGTGGGGAGCTCAGAGAAGAGTCTCTAAGGCTGATGCACAGATAAGCAGAGGCTTGTCAGGCCCTGCTCTGCAGAGGCTTTGCAGATCTTGATGAGGTTTACTACCAAGAATAGGTCTTGATTATTTCAAGACTCAAGTAGCTTGTGGGCATGTCCTGAAAACAAATGTTGGGAGCTTGGGAAACTGTAATATTCTAAATGGAAACTCTTCAGATTGCAGGATTGGAACTTAAGTGTGAACAGTTCCACTTCAGGGTCTGAGAAGCTCTAGGGCTTGATGTTTATTAGAAAAGAATGTACTGCTTTTTGTTCCAAAAGGTAGAAATAAGGTTTCTAAGGAAATGCAAATATTTCTCTGCATGTTGACTGGAACTCCCTGCTCATGGTTAAGTTCCAGTGTCTTTAAATCAGTTCCTTAATATTAAAAGAGAAGAACTCTAATCAGTAGGCAGTAGTGGAATGGGAGAGATTTGCTTGTTATCTGCAGCCTTTTTTTCTGCTTCCCTTTGTTCCTGGCTGTTGATAAAAAAACCAGAAAACCGTGAAACTCCAGGATTTTGAAATAACCAGTTATTTTCTCTTGCCAGGACACTGGGACAAGTTTTCTGTAATGGAAAACAGCCCCTTAGTAACTTTATAATTCACCTGTCAGCCCCTGTGCGAAAGTTTCTCCTAGTTGACTTGTAAATTAAGCCTAGTTTGCAATGTTATTTTTGTAAGTTAAGAACTTGTGGGTAAGTGATGTGAGTAGCAAGGGGAGTTCTTGACTTGTAAAGGGAAAGATCTGGGGTAGTTTACTGACCATTGCCAGCTGAGCTGAAGTGCCATTCAGTGGGCTGTGATGGGAGTTCGGTCTGCGCTTGCCCTGTGGGATTGTAGCAGGAACCCATTATTTCAGGGAAGCAGAGGAGGTATATAAAAGAAAGCAGAGATATCCCCAGTGCTGGTCCAGTCTGGCAGTTCTTTCCTGTCTCTGGAATTTGTATTCTGAGGTGATACTGCTCACTGATATTTTTATTAAGACAAGGAGCAAGATGTAGACCTTGAGTGTGAGGCAGGACTAACACACCCGGGACAAAACCCTTGGTGTTTCATAGTGACCTTCTCTAGAGTTATGCTGGGATTGCACATACCATGTCACTCTCTGTCATTATTTGAAGTGGCGGAGCTCGTAATTGAAGTGAAACTCCAGTTCCTCTAAGTAAACAGTCAATTCCTATTGATACCTGTGGGGTCAGGGTTCCACCTCTGAAGTGCAACAGTTATGTAGACACATGGAGAGCTTATTTCTGTTCACCTCCAGCCTTGCAGTGCCTTAGAGAGGGGAACTACCAGAATGGAGAAAGTTTTCTGTGCTGAAGGAGTGATTTTACTCCCTGCAGTTTAGTCAAAGGCTTGAGGGGCTTTCACTGTTGGTTGGAAGCTGTTGGTAGGGACGTTTACCTATGATACAAGCGTGAGACCTGAGTGCTTAGTTTGTCCAATAAGACAGAAATGACACAAGAGCTCTTTACAAGCTTATTTAGTTGCGTGGTTTGCTGATTAGTGTTGTTTCTGGCTGAAACTTGGAATGAAAGAATACCTGATATCCCTTTGTTTCCCTTTAGTGTCCCCTGCCTACAACTTCAGTTGGATCGATAGCTGCAAGATACCTGGAAGAGGAAGAACTGAGATCCCAACACATCCTGGAGTGCCTAAATGCTCACATTGAGGAACTGAAAAAAGAGAGTGAAAAGATAGTGAAACAATTTGGACACCAGGAGTAATGTTGCTTATTGAATTTGAATGCTGGGTTGCTTACAGGGTTCCAAACTGTGACTGGGGAGGTACCTATAAACCAGTTGCCATGGGAGGTTGAGTGAGAGGCTGTATCTCCCACTTTGAGCTGAATCAGCGGATGGATATTGAGGAAAGGAAACTCCTCTCTAACATGTTTGATCTGATGGAGAGTATTACACCAGAGACACTTTAGTCAGCTTGCTGTAGGTCAGAAAGCTTCATCAGAGGTATGTGTGCTCTCACAGATGATGGCGTTTTTTAGAAGCAAACCATTTGCTAATTTTAACATAAAGTATTTTAAGTATATTTTATACATGTAAAAACATTGAAATAAAACAAAATGGAAAAAACACCTCTTTTCTTGTTCATACAAATATACAGAATAAATCTCTCGTGACTTATCTTGCGTTCTCATTGGGAATTTTGATCAACAACCTTTTCCTCCCATAGTAGCTATGTTCTTCAAGGAACAAGGATTATAATTCCTCTTTCCTTTAGGCTACCTGTGTTTTCTACAGTTAATTTTCCCTTAGTGGAATTTCTTAATATTTCTTGGTTCTTGCAACTTCTGCCTTTTACTGTTTGTGTAGTATCTGGCGTCTTTTATCTGGCCTTGCACTTTGCTTGAAGTACTGAGAAATAGCTGAGGAATGAATGGCTGAATTCTGATTGTGGTCACAGCTCTTATAAAAGAGAGTAGTTGGAACTGGAAATGCAATTGTATGGGAGGAGAACCCACAACCAAGTGAGGTTCATCTGCATGACAGATGTAATTGCAGCTGCTGTGTAAGCTGGTATCAGCCTGTTTTGAACCTAGGCAGTCTCGGACACTGTCCAGTCAAGTTGAACTGCTGCATTAAAATACATCTGCGACCTGTTTTAATTAATATTTTCAGTCCTTCCTCAAGGAAAGCAAGTTCTTAATGGGCAAACAGAACCTGTTTCATATGGACTTGCTTTTCTTCCAGGGGCACTCTGCAGTTCTTCTGTGGCTGAGCCTTTACAACCTTTGTCCAGGCAAACCTAGGGATGGAGATATCCCATGTCTGTGTAAGTTTCCTGTTCCTTTCCATCAGCTTCACCTTGTCTTAGAGCAGCTTAATGGTGTCAAGAAACAGGAATTCAAACACCACATGTGCATGCAAAAACCAACCATCGGGTTAGGCAGATGAGTTCAGCAAAGGTGATGCCTGTCTGCAGCCTCTTCATCATGCCATATAAAATGGGACTGTACTTGGTCAAGCAATTCTGCATTCCAGAGTTGAAAAACGTTTGAACCAACAAGTCCTTTTTATTTTGGCTTTCTTCTGGAGGTCTTTGAACAAAGATAAAACTTTCAGATCCATTCTGGATTCTCATTGTGCAGTCTTTGTAATGAGGTGTTTTAGCTGCCCACAGCTGGGGATAAACTGTGGTCATGCATTTTGCACATAGTCAGCATTGGCCTTGGTTCCTGTTCAGAGCTGTCCACAGGTAAGCATTTTTAGAACATCCACCTTAACTGTCCAAATCTCAAGTAAGGACTTGTTGATCATGGGGCATTTTGGCAAAAATTGAACAGCTAGATAGAAGAAACTGTTGTTTCTAGTTCCTGCATGAACTATAGATCCACTGAGTATGTGGTATACCAGAACTCTTAGGGATTCCTTGTGTCCTTCAGTGGTGACAGCAACACCATTTTTAAAATGATACCATTTTTTATTTCCTGAAGATTTGTTAAGTAAGCTATGTCATGCACTAAGTGCTTTCAGAAGCTTAGAAGGCATTTGGGCTCATTAGTAGTGTTTGCTTCCATATCCCTTTCCTTTAGATATTTGGCAGTTCATGTTGGTAGAAGTGAAGAGTGCAACTGAAGGTGATGCATTTGTTTAATTAGAAGATATTTATATATTTGTTGTATAAATGTATTTTGATTATTATATTTATTATATAAATACCTACAGTATTTATCCATTTCTACTCCCTGAATGAAGCTGCTTATTACAGGTATTAGGCTGTGAAAATTTGATCTAAAGTGATCTGAAGAGTAAAATTTGCAACGAGAACTGCTGAATTTTTTGCTTTGTGCTGGCACATGTGCTGTCTTTCCCACCTTCTCTCTTTGTGGATATACAGTGTCGTGGACTCTCGTGTGGCTGCTGTTTCTGGAGTTGCTGTGCACAGACAACAGGAGAGGAGGACAGAGGTTGAGCAAGGCAGGATGATGAGTTGAACAGTTTCCTGCTCTCACTGCACTGCTCATTTTTAAGCGTGTGTCTTTCTCATGGCCAGCATGGAAAAAGTAAAGCATCTGATTGTCTATTAGCTGTATTCATTCCATGGGTGAGGAAGCTACCTCCTGAGTAGATGGAAGTGCAGAAATAAAAGCTTGTTCTGTACATACTTAATTTAGCTTCACAGAACCAGATATTTGCAAAACTGAGTGATCTGAATTTGTAGTGCAAAGTAATTGCACCTCTTGCTGGTGTAAGGATTACAAAAACTGTTCATTCTGAAGGCATGCCAAGGGAGAACTCTGAAATGGGAGAGCTGGTAGTCCCAAGATAACAGAGAAGTCTGTTCCAGAGACATTCTCCTGGTGTTAGAGTCTTGGCTTTGCTGAAGAATGTGCATTTTTTATGAGGAGGAGGAGAAAGACTTGTTTATCCTAGAGGGAGATGTCACAGCAAGTACAGACTTCTGAGGTGCTTTTATCTGGGGCTGCAGGGTTTCTCGGGCATTCTTCTCTGCCTTTGCAGTGTCAAACATCCCTTGGAATAATCACCTGGCCCTGGAAGTTTCATAATTAATGAAGCTGGAAAGGATTTTGTGTGTCTTTGAACTCATGCCTTCGACAGCACTGAAGAATTTCTTATGCATTTGCAGTGCTGAGCCAGATGCTTGTTTTCAGTTTGAAACAAAAATGTGGAAATTTATTTGCAGTACTTCTGTTTGTACCAGCCTAGCATCTCAAAAGTGAGAAGCTGTTGCTGTCTGTCTGTAGTGTGCTACAGATGTTCTTCCGTGGGTATGACAGTGCTTTGGGTCACTCTTTACTTTGAGGGGTTAAGCGTGTCTGCGCCTGTGTACATGGGCCTAATTGCAGGTGCCTGGGTTTTGCAGTGCTGCCTGGGGAGAGGAGGGATACTTCCTCAGCTCTTGCTAGGTGGGGGACAATAGTCTGTAAACTGGCCTCTTTCCTCCCTTGGGATAATTTTCTTTTTTCCCCTGCCATCTTGAGACAGAATAGTGCATGTGGGGTTAGAGAGAGACCTTGTGAAACGGAGTCTTTGAGGTGAAGAGCAGGGACCGTGTTCATACTGGTGTAGCTCTGCAGAGAGAGGCTTTACCGTGGCTGTGCAGTAGTTGTACCCGTTTGTATACATGTAAGTGAACGTCAACTGTTTGGTTGCATGAAAGGTGTATGTATGTTCTCTTGGTATCCTTGACCCTGTTATGTGGAAAAAGTAGATTTATTGAGTTGCTAAGCTCTTTGGGATGCCTCCTTACCCCCCTGTTGTAAGAAGTGACGTTTTTGACTGGATCAGCTTGACCTGTAAAATGAAAGCTACTGAAATGGGTCCTCCTTGATCTGAAAAATGGGATCTAAGAAAAAACTTCTTCTAGCTAGACACCAAAGTAAACCAGGGCTGTCTGTGCTTACAGACAAGGTTTGCTTTAGCCTTCGGGGTCTTAGGCAAACAAAAAATCCCTGAGTCTTTCTTGCATCTGCATCTGTGCTGTTCAGTAGGTGTTGCTGTCCAGGGAGCAGGTACCTCCTGGGCTACAAAGCTTGTCAGTGTTCCTGCAGGCAGGAGTTGCTGCTGCCGGTTTTTGAAGGCAAAGACACTTAGATGTTGGGGGAGAACTTAAAACCTGCTTTTACTTCACATATGGAGCCTCCTTATCTCCAAGTACAAAAGGACTCCAAAGCGTTGCTGCACTCCTGGCAATCCTAGAGCGAGCTTTGTTAGCTTACATGCTGTGTTTATACTTCCAACTTGTGCCTGCAGTAGCCTGCGTCCTCTCTGAGAGCTCTGCTGCTTGAATACAGCTCCAGGTACCCTGCACGCTCACTTAGTTTCCTTAAAATTGTGTCTCAAACCTGGTTGCTGGGCTAGAGGGAGTAACGTAGGCAGGATGGGAGGCAGCAAGCCTCCTGCTGTCGGTGGGCAGCCCTTCACCCTTGTGCAGAACTTCTGACACCCAGACGCTGAGGAGGAGGGGAGTGTAGGAATAACCCACGTATTCTGTGTGGAAAATACAGCAGCTTTGTGAAGAGGAATTCATATCATTTGGTCAATAAAATAGAATGCAAAACCATAACAGATTTATTTAAAATTCAAGCTCAAACATAGTATTTCTCAGGTCATGCTAAACTTACGGACATCTGAATATTTTTTTTGAATCTTACTTGATCTGATGACATGTATTTGTGGCGAGATTCGCTAGAAGATCACCTCTACCTTGAGCATATTGGGGTTTTCCTACAGAGTAGAGCACCAAGTAGTTTTTTCCATGATAATAATGTCACTCAGCCTGCTATTCCACGTAACCCCTTAAGTTTTTTAGTTGCAGTATTGCATAGACAAGTTGGAGTAAGGAGTGATTTTTGAGAACTTTATTCTCATTTTACTGTAGTCTTAGTTATGGAAACACTTGTATATACTTGAGATATGATTACAGTGTTAATATTGCAGAAAAAGTGTTTACAGTTCAAATACTCTAATATAAAAAGGTAAAAATGATTTTGTTTATTGTATTTAACAGTCAATGTAAAAAGTAATTTCGCAGTATCACTTAAATTTGTAAGACAATGAAGTGCACAAGAAAACTTCATGTTGTATCTTCTTCCTAATACTTCTCTCTTCTGGAAAGTATTTTGCAACTTGACTAGAGATGTACAGAAACTCGATTTAAATATCCTGAAGTTCCTCGTGTCCAATATTGCTGCTCAAAACCAGGGTGTACGTTCTTCATCCTGCCCCATAACTAGGTGGATTCTTCT